TCTCCTGGAGGGAGAGCGGGGATTTGTGTATAGATCTATACGGGGATGACACCCCACACCTGAGTTGTTCGCTACAGTTAGACTAACTCAGTCTAGGGGTGCCGAAAACCTTATAATCAATAATCAAAACCGGAGTCCAACAACTCCAAGACAGGCGAAATTGTCATTATTTAGTATGGTTATGACGACTCACTTAGAGGAATTAACGTTATGAAGTTTACGGAAGACCATTCTCTTTTCTCTTGGATTACCCGGAAACATTCTCGTACTGGTACTCAACCTCGGGGGTTGGTATGGCAGCTTTCTCTTTTACAGACAACATTGAGTTATCTGGGAACATTCTCTTTACATGCCCTTTACATTCTCTCTACATTCTCTTTACCATTTTTAGTCAAATAAACAATAACATACATGCATTAATACAAGATCTGTCACAAACGTACTAAATAGTTTTCAGAAAATATAGGATTTTCTGGTGGTTTTCAAAGTTATACAAATCATTTTCACAAACATGCTTATGAACTCACCAACATTGTTATGTTGACCTTTTTAAATTAACTTGTATTCTCAGGAAATCGTTGAAGTAGGATGAACGAAACAAACTGTAACGCCCGCATTTCCAGGCTAGACATTTTTGTTGATGTAATAGTCTAGGTTAACCCTTGTAAGTCTTTTTGAAGTATTAATGATGAAATATTTGAGTATTATGTGAATTATGTGTTTATTTTCTTAATTATTATAATTTAATGAATTAAGAATAAAATAAGCATCAAAATTAAAGTATGAGATAAGCCCGATATCTTTGCATAAATATGTAGTGGTCGAAACAAGGATTCCGAAGATATAAAGAACGTTGAAATCCGAGTTATAACGAAGAAGTTATGACCTATCGAAGTTTCGCGATAGAACCGGCAACGCTGAATGACATAAAAAGTGAAATTTACGTTAGAGGGATATTTAGCCTTAGTGATCTAAATGAAATTCGTAGAGTTCGTTAAACCAAGAGCGTGCATAAAAAGAACGCCAAAATCTGACTTCGTATGAGGAAGTTATGATTTTTCGAAGTTTCAACTTAGCAGTATGCAACCTGAATACTCGATTTGAGATCGAACGGTTTTTAGCCGAAACAATCTAAATGAGAATCGAAGGTCTCGTTAATAGTATTAAAACGATGAAAAGTTAGGCGAGAACGGACGTCGGACGAAGAAGTTATGAATTTATAACAGAGTTTTTTTGTCCCGGCCTACTAAAAATAAATAATAAAAAATAAAGTCAAAATTAGCCGACGGAGTCTAAACGAAAGTTGTAGAGCGTAGTCTCACTTACACGTGGATATAAAGAACGTCGAAAACGGAGCTCGTATGCGAAAGTTACGCAATTTAGAAGTTTGACGAGTCAAATTATGCCGAGCGTAATTTGAGTACGCCCAGTGTACTCAGGAGGATGCAAGTTGCCTGATCAATACTCAAGTGCCACCGATCGACGCATGCAGTGACGTCCAAGTACGCCCAGCGTAACCAAGTTACGCCCAGCGTACTGAGTACGCCCAACGTAAATTGAGATTACGCCCAACATAATCCCAGACCCACTAGCTTATAAATAGAAACCGAGATAAGCCATTTTCTCTTGTTCAAACTCTTTCTTCTCTCTAGTTTTTGCCTCTATTTACGTGCCAATCATATCCCGAAGCCCCGGTATCATTCCCAAGCCCCAAAGCAAGATCCGAAGTCCCTAGGATCCTGAAGAGCGTTATTCACGAGCCGAAGGCCTGCCTGCGAGGAGCCCGGTTTTTGTGAAAATCTTCCAGATCTACGGAGAAACACTACTTCTGCAAGTTGTAGTGCTGTATGATCATCTTTTGATCAAGTGAGTGTGTAGTTACTTTCTTACAACGCAATATTATGAAGTATTTTATATAAAATACGTGCTATGTGTATATAATTTGTTGTTATATGTGTGAAGGTATATTCACTCTCTTCTATCTCATAGATCTGATTTATTCTCTATGAAATACATGTTATGTGTGTGTGCCTCATCTGTTATGTGGAATATGTATTGACTAAAGCATGCTATACATGTTTTAAACTATGTATAAAAAAGTATATTTTTATCTACTAATATGTTGGGTAGAACATGGGTAGATAGTTGGTGTGTAATAAACAGATGAGAGGCCTCGATGTTGTTTCGATCTAGTCATCTAGCGGAGTTTAGATGACGACCACGAACTTTTCTAGACAGTCTTGTGGAACACTAGTAGGCTCACCACCTGTAGGTGTTAATGAACTTGGGTGTTCATTCGCTATACTCCATCCCCCCCCCCCCCCCCCCAATAGTTGCCTTATTTGACATATATTGCCGGGAAACCCCCGAATGCATGTGTTGTCGCCCCGATGAAATATTCTTAGACTAGGTCCCTTGTGTTAGTTATTTTAGGGAGATAAAGTGAGAATAACGGGAATGGGTAATTGGGTTGTTGTTGGTTGATGAAAATTAATTTAATTATTTATTGTGGGTTGAAAACCCTATATGCTCACCAGGCTCCCAAGCCTGACCCACTCAGTTTCTTTGTATTACAGGAAGTGGCGCGAGGGCATAAGATGGATAATCATCAAGTTGTTTTGTTTACAAGTCTGTATATGTATATATTTGTTGAATGACTTGTAATATTATCATTTATGCTTATGATCTGTATCGGAACATGACATCCCAGTTTTTGATTATGAAATGAAATTATATTTCTTTGTGGAAGATTTTGATAAAAATCTATTTTATCATGTTTTATTTTTGGGAACAAATTCCGCATCTCTTTTAAAATCAAAAGGATGTACTCTGAAAATGTTTAAGCATAAATGAAACCGGTCTTTTCTGGCCGAGATTTTGGGGATGTCACACAAACTAATGGATATTGTGTTATATTTTGTTTCATCATACTCTGACTATTTTGGTATGTAATATCCAAATACAATACTCGATGTAAACAATGAATGTTGTTATATTACATGTGTGATGATGATGATGTTATGTTTCAATTATACACTCTGTAATGATACTACAATGTTGAAAGTCACACCAAGCCCCCAGACGTTTCCGCCGTCTGGTTCGGGGGTGTGACAGATGATGTGGTGGGTGCTACTTGGTGGGAGGCGATGTTTGGCTCAATAGGGGTGGGCTGTGGGTTAAGGCGATGTTTCGAAAGGTAGACGGGTCAACTACTAAGGAAAATTTTCACCCGTAGTGCGACATGTGATTTTTTTTATTGTGGTTTCATTGAAGGGAACTCAAAGGGCCCAACCAGGTTGGTTTTTTTGTTTATCTGATGGTGGATCGCATCGTACGTATTTACAGGTCCGGGTATATAGGGTTATACAGGTATGCTTCGGTGGCAAGAAGTTAGGTAGAGATCGAAAGGGAAGTTGGGACAACTCCAAGGTGTTTGTTTTGGTGACTCGAATGTTTTGCTTGGATACGATCGGCTATCCAAAGTTGTTTCAAGTTTCGAATAAAATTTGACTTTCAATTTTGAATGATAGGATTTAGTTTGTAAGCCAAGGTGAACATTGTAGATAAAAGGTGGCTTAAAACTTAAGTCTATGGTTCTTAAATAATTAAGACTACACTATGAGGGCCATTATTAATTAGAGCTGGTAATAGGTTGACCTAAGTTTGGTTCGGGTTCAACCAATTTATTAATTAGGTTAAAGATTTCAATCCAATCCAATCTTTTTATTTAAATGGGTTGATATTTCAAACCCAACCCAACCTTTCAAATAAATGGGTTGTCACCAGGTTGATCCGTTTATATAATTCCTAACCTAAGCTATTAAATATCTGGGTTAACCTAATTAAAAATAGAAAAGTAAAATAAATTAACTAAAGATTAAACCACATAAATTAGTTTATAATTAATGTAAACTTTCAAAGTATAATAAATGTATAATAATAATTCCTGAATACAAAGAAATTGTCCGAATAACATTACAAATATGTAATTTCGAAATTATTTTGGTGAATGACTAGTGTTGTCAGCGCAAAAAAAAAAAAAAAAAAAAAAATAGAAATTAGACTTGCATTTTTTAAAACATAAATAATAATACAATATTGTAATTTATAAATTAATACTTAGATTAATATATATAGTAATATTTAAATAATTGTAAAATTAAATATATATTAAAATTAAATAGGTTGGTGGGTTGAAGATCGATTGACAACATTTACCCAACCTAACATATTTAATCATATGAGTTAGACACGTTAATCCATTTATCCTAAATAGGTTAAAAATTCCAACTTAACCTGGTAATTTTGAGTTGGGTTAAATTTGTTTTGGTGGGTTGATCGATTGTTGCCTGTTCTATTATTAATGTAGGGAAATGGCTTTTATAAAGAAATTTAAATGTATAGTTTTCATTCTTTCTTTTACCTTCTTATTTCTGTATCGCATACATAGGCACGTCAAGGTTAATAGAAAATCCATCTTTGGCTACTTCTTTGTTGATTTCTTCTAGGTTTCTTCGTAATTACTCATTTATTGCTTCCGCAAATGCACAACAGTTGGCATAGTATATGAAGCTTAAAAAAGATATGGAAGATGCTTCTTTTACATCTTTTGGGTAGTTTGTAATGTAATACACATTTGGGTTAACATTTTTTGTAACTATGATTTTATGTGAACTTGTATACTTCGCTTGTTCATAGTACAAGTGTATTGTAAAAATGTTTTAGAACATGAATTCTTTTTTGTGTATCTTATATTCTAATTTTACGGGCATTACACCAAGGACTTACTCATGTTTTATGGTATAACACATAATTCTCTTCTATTCATAAATTGTCATTATCATATTCTACTTTATTAAATTTTATACTTATATCTTGTTTAGTTTTTGACTAAATAATATAATTTGCTAAATATTCCATAACATATGGTAGCGTTTTACCTTTCTTAGACGACTTAAAAATAAACAATTGGTACCAGTTCATTCACAAATGGTGATTACATTATGACTTCCGGTTTCCTCTCTGATGCCACAACCAGCGCTAGCATAATTTACACCAGTGCTGATCTCTTCATCGGTTGCAGTAGCATAAGGTGGAATAAAGTCATTGAAGCCAAGAAATTGACCTGAAATTCATCATCCAAAGGATATGTTGATTATTAATGTCCATATTTTTCACGTATAGAAAATGAATAAGTATGTAGCATAAGATCAAAACCGACTTTTGATGAATTGATCACAAGATCATCCTTGGTCAATGAAAAGAATATAAAATATTTAGGAACAAAAGCAACACCAACATTAATATCATTATTATTATCATTATCATGCATACTTATAAAGCTAACATTTTTCTTGAATCTCATGCATTTGAAACCCTTATTCTTTTTTCCTTTCAGCATATTCATTTGAAACTCCCATGACTTTTCAATTTCTTTATAATAATAATTATAATTTGGTAATTAGGTTAAATAAATATCAAATCTATAGTGTATTTATATATAAACTAAATTTCAATATTAAAGGTATAATTTTTGAACAATTTGTATAAGATACTTAAATTATTAATTAAAATATAACATTATAGGCTCAACTTAAATATAAATTTTATTTAGCTTAAACAACCTAAAGATTATTTTATAAATAGTTAAAAGTGATAAATTATAGTATCTTTCTAATAATGATTGTAAGTTGGTTAATAAAGTTAAATAAATATCAAATCTAAAGTGTAATCATAAATCGACTAAATTTCAATTTTAAAATAATATCTTTACTTTTATTTATAAAGTTATGTTTTTATATTCTAACATATTATACTTAATTTATTAGATTTAAAATGTTGTTGCATGTAAACTATTATCAGTTTAAAGCTATAATTTTTGAACAGATTTCACAAAATACTTAAATTGTTAATTTAAATATAACATTATAGTGTCAACTTAAATATAAATTTCAGTTCCACTAAAAAACCAAATAATACTTTGTAAATAGTTAAAAGTGATAAATTATAGTGATAAATGCAAAAACTAAATTGTAATATCAGTTTAACTAAAATATTTCCTAAATATATTTTTATAATCGTTAAAAATTTTCAAATAAGTAGCTTAAAATAACTTATAATAACAATAGTTAAAAATAACTCTATATAATTGATTATATTGTTACCTTTAATATAAAAAAAATAATGTTTGATATTTTAAATAATTATAATGATAGAAATTAAAACATTAAGCAAATAAATTTTAAAAAATTAGTTAAAAATAACAACTATAAATAATATTAAACCATATATAATATTTAATTTTACTGATGTGTAACTCGCGAGTAGAAGTCATTCAAACAATTGAGATTATGACGTTATAATAGATTTATATATTATCATATAATTCAAAATAATCAATGTATTATATCAAATTAATATACGAATTATTATATCAAATTTAACAACAACGTTAGTGTTATATTTTAAAAATTATATATTTGTAAAGACTTCAACTATATAGGTGTTTCTGCGCATTACAATGTCAACTCAAATATAAATTTTAGTTCCATTTAAAAAAAAAACTAAAGAATATTTTGTAAATAGTTAAAAGTGATAAACTTTAGTGATAAAAGAAAAAACTAAATTGTAATATCAATTTAACTAAAATATTTCTTAAATATATTTTTATAATCGTTAAAAGTTTTCAAATAAGTAATTTAAAATAACTTACAATAACAATAGTTAAAAACAACTCTATATAAATGATTATATTGTTAGCTTTAAAATAAAAAAAAAAACAATATTTGATGTTTTAAATAATTATAATGAAAGAAATTAATACATGAAGCAAATAAATTTTAAAAAATTAATTAACAATAAAAACAACTATAAATAACATAAAATCATATATTATATTTAATTTTATTCATGTGTAACTAGCGGGTAGAAGTTATTCAAACGATTGAGATTATGAAGGTATAATAAATATATATATTATCATATAATTCAAAATAATCAATATATTATATCAATTTAGTATACACAAATTATTGTATCAAATTTAACAACGACATTATTTTTATATTTAAAAAGGTATATATTTGTAAAGACTTCAACTATATAGGTGTTTTTGCGCTAAATGAAGCATTTTTCTTTTCACCACATTCATTTGAAACTCCCATGAATTTTTTCTTTCACCACATTCATTTGAAACTCCCATGGATTTTTTCTTTTACCACATTCATTTGAAACTCCCATGACTTTTCAATTTCTTTTTAATAATAATTATAATTTGGTTAATTAGGTTAAATAAATATCAAACATAAAGTATAATCATATATAAACTAAATTTCAATATTAAAATAATATCTTTACTTCTACTTATAAAGTTATTTTTTTTAACTTTTAATATATTATAATTAATTTATTAGTTTTAATATATTCTTAGATGTAAACTATTATCATTTTAAAGGTACAATCTTGGAGCAATTTGTATAAAATACTTTAATTATTGATTTAAACATAACATTACATGGTCAACTTAAATATAAACTTTAGTTTAACTCAAACAACCCAAATAATATTTTATAAATAGTTAAAACTGATCAATTGTAGCGTCTTTCTAATAATGAATATAAGTTAGTTAAAAAGGTTAAACAAATATCAAACCTAAAGTGTAATCATATTTACTTCTACTTATAAAGTTATGTGTTTAACTTCTAAAATATTATACTTAATTTATTAGATTTAATATGTCGTTATACGTAAACCATTGTCAGTTTAAAGCTACAACTTTTGAACAGTTTTGACAAAATACTTAAATTGTTAACTTAAATTTAATATTACAATGTAAGCTTAAATATAAATTTCAGTTCCCTTTAAAAACCAAAGAATATTTTGTAAATATTTAAAATTGATAAATTGTAGTGATAAATGAAAAAAAACTAAAATGTAATCTCGATTTAACTAAAATATTTCCTAAAGATATTTTTATAATTGTTAAAAGTTTTTAAATAAGTAGCTTAAAATAACTTACAATAACAATAGTTAAAAATAACTCTAAAATAAATGATTATATTGTTAAGTAATTATAATGTTAGAAATTAAAACATTAAGCAAATAAATTTTAAAAAACTAATTAATAATAACAACAACTATAAATAACATTATATCTTATATTATAATTAATTTTATTCATGTGTAACTCGCGGGTAAAAGTCATTCAAACGATTGAGATTATGAAGTTATCATAGATTTATATATTATCGTATAATTCAAAATAATTAATATATTATATCAATCAAGTATAAAAATTATTATATAAAATTTAAAAACTATTGTTATATTTAAAAAAAAAAAAGCATATATGTGTAAAGACTTCAACTATGTAGGTGTTTCTACGCAACGCGCGGACATTCGCCTAGTTTTTGTTATAAAATAATGTTGAAGATTATCTAACTCTAGATACATGGTTATAAAAGCACTGTCTATTCGATCCCTTGTCTTATAATTTAATCTAAACTTAAGGCTTCAATATGAAGTTCACCGATTTTAAATTTTTTATAAATTATTTCATCTTTGTATAACAATAGTAACGCGCAAAATATGTACTTATCTTGATTAGTTTTCTAAATGTATAACGTTCATTTTTTATTGGTTAGCTGAAGATGCAAATTGTCAAACAAAATGAGTGAGTGAATGAAATAAAGAGAGATACCGATAATATCTGCGGTTGTCCGACCGTTGCAGAACCTGCCAGTATCACCTTTTGGAAAATCAACCCCATAAGGACGGTAATTGGCTTTCCATTTTGAGTAAAGTTCATTGTTGTTGCCATTATCGACTAATGAGTCTCCAAAGATGAAGTAACATGGCACTTTTGGTTTACTGGAAACTTTGTATGTCCCAAAGTGCCATAATAGTATAAAGATGTGGACTAAAACTAAAAAGCTCGACTCATGAGCCATTTTTGTTAGCATAAAAGGAGAGGGATTACGATAATTAATTTTTTATGCTATCTTCCTCATACTTAAAGACAAAAGAGGTGGGGAACTAAGTTAGGCAATATACTAGAAAATTTGGTAAAAACTAAGTTCATGCGTAATCAGTTACTATTACAACATGCATTGAACTTATAAGTGATTATACTAAAATATTAGGCTACATATATCAACACTCCAGATCATTGTCCATATGATAGTATTGAAATCGTTATCTTATCTCTCCTTAAAACATTTATAATAGTGAGTTTAATGAGAGAGTTGAATCAATGACAAATTTATTTGTCATTAAATGGATTAAACTTTACCATAATAAGATATCACCTTGACATTCAATGGATTTGGAGTTCTATGATCATTGAACTTTTCGTTGAGAAAAAAGAAAGTTTTTAATTCTTAAATATTTACTATGAATTAGCTCTATAATTTTCTATTGTACTTTGTAGAGTTCATTATATTGTAGAAGAAATTGATGGTGTATAAAATATAAAAAAAATGATATGACAATCCATTGAACTCTATTCTGAATGACCTTATAACCTCAAGCAACAACGAAAGGGCTTCAAGATCTTAACAAACGTTTAAACATAAAACTTTGATTTACTAAAACACTTTTATAAAACAGTTGCAGAATCAAAACTAATTTCATGAATACAAATAGAAGATCAAAAGAAACATTGTTTACAATAAATTAACATAATAAAACAACGATAAAAGCTCGAAGCTCAAATCGTGACCTTGATTTTTTTTAATGGTCACTTCTTTCTTATAGATTATTGAAAGAGATGGATAATATTAATCCATAGAAAATAGCTTGCATGTTTCTTAAATGAAACAATATAGCATAGTAAACACTTCATGGCACACCTTATTGTTGAAAATATGTGTATCATTTAGTCATACTCAACATTAAAGTTGAGCTAATTGGCTTATATCATATGGGGAAGCATCCTTTTGTGAAACTCCAGAATATGATCTTGTTGCAATGATGTTATTAGAAACTTCAGTAGGATGTAAACCATCAAAGAAAATAGAGACAGACCGCATAGGGCAAGGAATCGACTTTGGAATGCATTGTCCATCTTTTCTTACTAGACAACACGGAGAATTTGGCATGGGCACATCTGAAATATAAATATGCATCTTACAACTCGAATGAACTTTCAAATATTTTGTTTAACATTTAAACATTACTTTGTAAGTTTTTACTTGATTCATAATTTTTTTCCTGAAAAATGTAGCATGCTTCATATATGCATACACCTAATTGCTTTGAGGAGTTATATAGTAGTTAATTAAGCCATGAAACTAGTTTTGTCCACGTGAATCTAATTTCACTACTACTCAGACTTTACCTCCTAGAGGTGACAAGATGCTCCCAAGGTTGATGAAGGTGAATTTTGCATCTGATTTCTTATGGTTAAGTGTATGAACAAGAGCTTTAAGCCTATCGTTGAATAATGTAACTGCCTCATTCATCTTCTGTACGCATGGTTTGCCGTATGTGCCAAATTTGTTTATAAAAATTGGGCTACACCCAATAGGAGCCAGACTAAACACTGCAATCTTCCTGCCCCCTAAACTATACAAAGTCTATTACACATCAAAATGTTAGAAACATGCTTGCATTATATTAAGCATTCCAAAGAGAGTTGCTTCATGTTTGAATCTTAAAGGTTTTAACTTTAAGTTGACATGTCGTTCTTAGAATGTAGTTTTAACAACACGAAAGGGAGAAGAGAATGAGCAAGGCCCTTTCTAGGAAAACTCGTACCATAAACCTTGATAAATATTAAAGAATAAATGAATTATAATGTGTACCTTTAGTTGTCCAGAGTATTGGTTTATAAGTACTTTTGCGTATTGATGCTTGGTATACATGTGGCTTGTATTGTAAAGGTCGGGCATGAAGTAGTTGTTTATGTAATCGTTGCTTCCTATATTTACAATGTAGATGCATTTTCTTAGGAATTTTGTATTCTTTTTCAAGCGTGAAATTCGTGAAATTATGGACTTGTGATGACGTAATTGCCTATCCATGCTGTAGCGATCACCCTGTGATGAAAGAAAATGCATATAAATTTATTATGTCTCAAGACTTAATGGAAAAAGTAGGTATACTTGAGGATAAATTCAACGAAATTAAAATAGATGTAGATTAGCCGTTATCTTCATTAAAATGCCGAATTAAGTTCTAAAGCGACTTAAAACATGGAAATCCTATTTGTAAGGAAATGAATTCCCATCAATAAACATGATTTCTGAGGTTTCTTAGTACACCATTAAATAAAATGCATGTTATACGAGTCTGATTGCAAATGAAGATTACCATATGACTTCCCGTTTCTTTCCGAATCCCACTACCACCACTGCCATAGTTTACCCCAATGCTGATTTCTCTGTTAGTTGCAGTAGCATATGATGGAATGAACTTATCAAAACCTAGAAGTTGACCTGAAGCAAATATATATGTAATTTGTTAATCTCAATATTATTGTTGTCAATATTTTTTACATATTATATATAAATAAATTGTTGGTGATTTGTTATAATCAATGTTATTTAAGTGTAATGAGATTAATTTGTTGACTAAAAATGATCTTGATAAATATTAAACAAGTAAGGAAGGTGTGAAGTACACACTTGTCTAAGTTTGATCAAATATCAAAGTATACTGTCATTTAGGGGTAAAGCCCCTGAACGAACGGGGGTCCGGGGGCACCGCCCCTGTATTAAAAATGCATCAGAAAATCCAAATTTTGAATATTTGACCTGGTTTTGACTTTGCATTAATCCTTATACAAACCCCGGATTTATAACAGTTTTGACTGTTGAGAAAAACTGTTATATGATAGTTTTGATAGTTTTTCAGACAAGGACGGTTTATAACCAATTTTAGTCATTTTCTGGTATTCACAAAATTACACCATCTCATTCTCTCTTTTTTTCTTTATGTTTTTCTCTGAGTCTTATCTAATTGAGGATTTGGGAGTACCACCAAAATACTTCGATTTGAAAGTATTTATCATGATTCTCAGATTTCCAAGTGCCACAAAACCATATTTCTAACATAAATTAAGCCGATCATAATAAATGTCCAACCAAGAACACAAACTAACAATATTTTGCCAAGGAACAAGCTAAATAAGTCATCAAAAATATATAAAATTGTAACTACAAGATAGAGAGAATTTAACATGGTTGGACTAGGTTATACAAGAAATGTGGTTTAAACTACCTTATGGAATCAGTAGAATACAAACATAGTCATCAAGATCTACTATTATTTCTCTTGCATGTTTGCGACCAGAGAGATACGACACAATGAAAGTGTAACGATAAACTGAACATGTCCACTTTTAAGAACCCTCAAAGTAAAACTCTATACTACAATTATTTCCTAATTAGACCCTTAGGCATAGTATTTATGTCACTAAACACCACAACCTCCAACTTAATAAAGATACAAAGTCCATTTAACACTTATTGAAATAGAGAACGAATCTATAATAAAAGAGAAAAAAACTCCCTACCAAGTTCGATTATGAAAGCTTTAATGAAAACACATACATATACACCATCGTCGGAACCAAACATATATACCTTTATGTTCTCCCAACTTCTTCCTAGTAACGAATACAGGAATTTTGATAATTGGGGGTACTAGCCGAATCCAAGATTCAAACACATGTTTTTCCCGCTTGTATAAAATGACAAAATAATCGAGTTGAAAATTTTGGTTATTAAGTCGGTTTGTTTTGTTTTGTTTTGATTTTCTTTTTTAAAGAGTTATCGGGTGAGTTTGTTTATAATATAATCAGTCACTTTTTATAACAAAAAATAGGGCTAAAACAAAAAATAAACTTCTACACCTTTCAAAGCAATTAACCATTGGTCATGAATATAGCTTTGAGAGCAACTATATCTTGATCTAGAAAAATTAAATTGTTATATATATTTTAACAACATTTGACCCACAATGATGTTGTATATTTGATTAAATTATAATACAATTTATGTTATTAATACTAGGGGAAGGTTCTATGGAAAATGCATGATCAGTAAAACACATGTTGGAACCAATGAAATCATGGCAATACATCACTTTAGAGTAAACTACACAAACAACTTTTAGAATACATTACTTATGAATAAAGAAATGGAAACATGTCGCTTGATCATTGGTTTCAACATATGTTGCCATAACTATGCATTTTCTATTAAATCTACTTCATTAGTCCTATAATAAATTGATAATCCATAAGCAATCAAGTTCGTAAAAAGAAATGTTTAAGATGGTAGGTAAATAGAAACTTAATTTTATGTCTAGATAATAGGTTTATATATTGCATTTCAAGTATTCTTTTAGGGAAAGTATTAAAAGTTTTAAATGTTGTTTAGTTTGTGCAACCTAAACTTTAAATAAATGATATTGCTATAAAAATTGACTTAAATTGTTTGAGTTAGGTGTATAAAGATGGGAGGTTGTAATGTAAAAGTCTTAGAAGCCAGTGGACATAAAGAATTTATATAAAAGCTAAGAAGGACCAAAAGTCTTAAAGCATCAAAACGTAGAGTTCTATGGCTTACTTTATGTTTAATGGGTTTAATTTGACAACCTCAATTTTCTCTTGACTTCTCTATAACATCCTGAGATTTTGCAGGTATTTCTGAATCCTCTCTTCCATTATTATTTTGTCATTTGTAGTCTCTTGGGTTAAAAGAGTCAACCTATGAGAAGCCTATGGGATAAATTTGCATCTTTGAGAAGAAGACCAGTACTAGGCATACATAAGGTACTTTAAGCGTCCTAGGTGCACCTTAGTACATTAGGCGTACACTTATGTACGCTAAGCGTACTCACGTCAGATGCAAACCTTAATATTTAGGATTTAAGTGCTATATAAACATCCGTATGAGCTCATAACCCTCCCTTACCTCAGCCTCCATAGTTTTGAGTCGTTTTC